GATAATGTCAAATCGCACATCGTTAAAACAACAATTACGATATTATCGCAGACGATATATATCGCACACCCCTAATATACAGTGTGTGTGTGTGTGTGTGTGTGTATATATATAATTTAACATCAACCTAAATCAAGCAAAACAAACTTCAAATAGTTACCACTTTACAGTGTGTTATAAATAATATTCTGAATTAAAAACAGACTGTGGCTGAAAATTGGGGTGAGTAGAGCTAGTATGCTACATGATAATTGCAATTTAGGAGAAAAGCTCATAAATGCGTGTTAGCAGGATGAGGTATTTTATTTCATCATTATTTCATCTGTGGTTGCCAGATGATAAGATGGAACATAAAATGTAAACACTAATGTGCATAACTGATAACAAAAAGTCAATTTATGGCTTTTCAGTGTAAATTATAAAATGACTTTATAAAGTGTCCCGTTAAGTGTCCAATCTATTACAGTTTTTTTACCGAAGGAAACTGTTAACTAGAGCCCGACCGATATGGATTTTTTTGGACCGATACCAATCATGGCGGAATATCATGTGAAGTCCACTTCGCAGGGCACTTACGGTCGAATAAGACAACGCTTGAATGCTGCCTGAACAAGAGACTTCCTTACTGAGGTAAAAGTGTTGACTGGTGTCACTATCTCGTGAACCCGGCGGCGGATCTCCACCAAATTCGGGGGATCCCTTCAGGTCGAGGAGCCCTCAGCCGATATATCGGTGACAGGCTCATATCGGCCGATAAAATCGGCAAAACTATATATCGGTTGGGCTCTACTGTTAACCAAATTAACAAGTTTTTACCATAACATTTTAAAAATCATTTACTGTTTGAAGTGATTTATATCTTGATATATATCTTTACAGTCACTGAGTTTCATTTTTGTAAAAAAAAATTGTCTTTATGAATAAAACATTAATGTTTTGTATTGGACTTTCAGTGAGCTAAAACGTTCAGAAATGTAAGAGACTCCGCGGAGATATTGATTTATTGAGCTACTAAGTGCCCCAGCAGGACTCCCCTTTTCTCACCAATAGCTACATGAGCCAAAACTGTGGACCTGAGAGTTACAGCTTGGCCTTGAGTGAGATTTGAGCCAGTGTTTTGGTTCTGAAACAAAGATTTGGACCCATGTCTGACATGAGCCTTTCCACAGTTGCTCTGTTTTACAGCTTTTCCCCGAGAAGGCCAGCTGGACTGAGTGCAGCAGTTACCAGGCACAATGCAACATGTTTCCAGCAATTTGTCTGTTCACATGATTTGTCTGTTTGAACACAAAGCTGTTGCATGACATTACAAAAAAAATACAGCCGATTAAAGATATTTGATATAATGTACAGTTATGGGGAGCATGATTTTGGACTAATGAGAGGCCATTTGTTGTGGTCATGGCTGACTTGGAAAAATAATAAGATTGAGGTTTTTATTGTTATTGTTTTATTGTTTATTGTTTTATAATTTTTTTGTTGTGTCATTCTTGGTTAGCACACTTTTTTAAAGATGAATTTCCTAGGATATTTCTAGCATGCCTTTTAAATCTATCTGAATGACTATACTGGATCTATTTTATTTTTAGCGGACTGGATGGAGACTGTAATCATCATAAGTGTTTTTAATACACTAGAGTGGCCTGAACTGTTAGTGTTCATGCCTTTGACCTTGATATGACCACCCAGGTCACTGTTTACTGTGAGAAAGTTGTGTCTAGTCCAACTTGGCCCATGCCCTATTCTGATACCCTTCAAATCAAACAGTCAACAGTCCGTACTTTATCATATTAGTATGACAAACGTCCAGATTTATAACATATTTGGTCTATTATCTTACAGTTATCTTAATATAGTTCATAGCCTCATGAAGTGCTTGGCATGCCAGACAGGGATGGAGAGGTGGATGGAAAGCAGGATGCTGTAATTCGTTCATCACATGCTAAGTAGGTGCCACATTCCCAGGTGGCAGGTGCTGACAGGAACATCTTGGTAGTTGAAAGTGGCAAAGCATTGTTAAGGTTCAGTTCTTTGAAGAGAATAGAACATGATAGTCTGGATTTGTATGATAGGCCCCAACAAAGGACATTTAAAAGGGCACCCTCAATGTTTGGGTGTTTGTTAGGTCTTTAAACCAAGTTAAGCTCAGCTGAAGTTCTCTGAAGGTGAAGGTCCTTACAGGTAAGCCGTGTCGGTATGATATTAACAAGATTAATATGTAGAAATAAACAGTTTCAGATATGATTATTGACTGTTATGGCTTTGGATTTAGTAAAACACCTCAAAGCTTAAGTTAAATCAGGATTATTAGCATATCTTCTACAAAGGCAGCATGTGGAGCAATTCAGAGTATTAAGGATCCTCAAACCGTGTGACTTGTCTTGACTGATGGATTGATGCATGCAGCTGTTTTTGTTGGACCTGTTTTTAAATTTACAATGGAAAGTGATTCCCACTTATCCAATTCAGTATGCTATATAAACGTTTAAAATAAACAGCATATTTGTGTATTATTGAATTACAAAATTGCTGTTACGCAACTATTCAACAACTCCAAATTTAGGACGATATCCATTTTCAAGTGGGTAAATCCAGTGCTAACAGTCTTTTCTGTAAACATCTGAGAGAGTCTTCTATCTAGGCTATATTTTTTATATAGGCCTACCATATAATTTAATGACGATATAGGCTCCATTAAATTATCTAAGTTTAATTATTTGGCTAATTAACTGGTTCTGATTTCCTATAGACAGCAACTGTAGGCTATAATCAGTCAATGAGACAGAGCACCTCGCATAGAGACAGATGGTTAATGTTTACACTGGGATTCATTAGAAATATTACAGGAATATGTGCAATTATCCAGGACTTCTGTAATATTTTGTATGTATAAAGAAAGCTCTCGTTTGGCAAATAGTAATAAGTATCTAAAATATTAATCATTATCTGATTTGGCAGACACTTTCGTCCAAAGTGGCTTACTCATTTGTTACAGGGCAGAAACAGAGGGATAGAGTGCTAGAGGGATATCCATTGGCAGCTACTGAAACATATACATTTTCACTGACCCATATTTTCTTACTCAGCCAATGTTCTGTAACGGGTCACTTTGTATCTTGTTTCAGTGTGAACCACAGCCATAGGTGTGACACATCAGTTAGTCAGTCTCCTCATGCATCAGCACCCTCACACTTACCATGTTAGCAGGATTGTTTGTAACATTATTCCAGTCGAAATTTCACATTCCAGCCAATCAGGTTGTTTTTAAATATTTATATTCAGAGCCATTGAGATCAGGCCTAAATATACAAAGCAAGTCAAGCTAGCAGGGCAGGGTTTTTTTTTTTTTTTTAATTGTCATACTTTTTGCTAGGGCTGTGCAGTAGGACAATATATATCATGATAACATTTCTCATAAGAAATAAGATGTTGGTCATATCGCCCACTCCCATTTTTTGCACTAGCTTTTTTTTTTTGCAGTTGTAAACATGCTAAGGAACATACCATGGAGGTGTTGTTGTTGACTTGCTGAAGTCTTGATTTTCAGCCACTCAATATTCTTTGTTCTCTTTCCTAATGACATGCTGAGCAACATTGTTCCCTGTCTCAGCATCTCCCTTCATCTCTCCTTTCGCTCATTTTCATTTGCAGGGCTCTCCAGCAGAGGGCACAGGGAAATTTGATGCAGCCCCTGGTAAGCGTGCCACACTTTCAGTATCTCCGTCCAGTTTCTTGATGTTATGCAGGCCTGGCTGGCCTTTATTTACAGTTATATGGGCATGAATGAAATATGCAAAACAAAACAATTGCAACACAGATAAAGAAAACAACATAAATAATATTAAAACAGCAAAAGGCAATTTAAACACCTGTTTTCTCTGCATGCAAGTTTTAAATCTGTGCATATAGTCTCATACAGTACACTATATGATATTGTTTAAGCCTGTTTTAAAACACTAATACATAAAAGGCAGTAACAAGGAATGAATAATAGCTGTCTAATGTCTTGATGCAGGAGGCTCATGAGTAAGCAATCACACACAGACTCTCTCTGTCTTTCTCTCTGGCTTGAGTCATTGTTGAATCAGTATTCTCACTGCCAGGCCCCCTATTTCCTTCCGTTCATCCATCTTTTCTTGATATTTGTGCCAGCCTTCGGAGAACACTGTGATTACAATCTTCCTAGGACTTAAAGGGATCCTATTATGCTCTTTTACAAAGTCTTGATTTTGTGTTGTGATTGGTTAGCTGTCTCAGTGCGTTGTGATTGGCGAACAGCTTAGATGGTGTCTCATTACTGCCACGCCCCTTGCTCCGTCTTTCAACAAAAACTTTTTGGCGAATCTGGCACTGTACTCCCTCATGTTGTGAAAGCTGTCCTCAGTAAAATGCGCAGCACACAATAGCAAATTGGGGTTATAATGCTCAGGAACAGAGTTAAAAAATAAATTGCAACCACTGTTTCCTGACATCATCCACTTTCGGAAGCCCAAACAAAGACGTTTGGGCACGGAGGTGAAAAAAACAGGGTTTCAGGCAGTCGCACACCGGACGAGAAGTGCAGCGTTGCGTCGCGCTACGTCTTTAAAATTCAAATACATTATTTTCTATGAGTGTAGGTACACCGGCGGCGCCGTTCGGCGTCTGTCCGCGGCGCCCAGCTACGTCGTGTTATACTTGTAAGAATTGTTCTAGACATGCCGAAAATTTGACGCTACAGCACAGCAGCTCTTCTTCTTCGTTTTCTCTGATGCACTAACTCTGCAGCAGCACTTCTTCGTCGTCTCGTCTGATGCACTCACTCAACCAAGCGTTCTAACCACAACCTTGCCCCTTCCCACCCCCCAACCATTCGAATTTCTGTAGGCGGGAATTATATGTAATGATATTCTAATGAGCCGCTTTGTGATATCACAAAGCCCGGAAACCAACGCTGTAGTCCAAACGAGCCGTTCCTTGTAGTTCTTGAAAAGGGATTTTTAAAAAACAAAATATCCTTTGGAGTGGACTTTGAGATTTGTAACTTTTTTATGCCCAAACATACACACTACACACTGACTAAAATTAAAAAAGTGAAAAAGCATAATTGGACCCCTTTAAAAAGCCCTGGGGTCTCTATATGAGCATTATTAGAGCTGTTGTTCTCAATAAAGTCTAACAAATAACTCAGTAAAACTAATGCAGTGCTTCTCAATGGGTGGGTCATGACCCAAAATGTCACAGAAGAGGTTGAAAAATTATAAATGCAATTATAATAGCTCTCTTTAGTTTCTTTTGCTGTTCTCCACATCTCACGTATGATTGTATGTGTTTTGCAGCACGTCCACCCTGTCGGCGCACTGTATCTGCTGTGCGAGTAACTCCTTTGAGGACCATGAAGAGTTCCCCTGATCTCATGCCTACTGGTAAGAGCAGCATTTGTAGGATTTGGGGGACTAACATAATATCAAATGTGACCCTGGACCACAAAACCAGTCATAAGGGAGAATTTTTAGAAATTTGAAATCTGAAAGCTGAATAAATAAGTTTTCCATTGATGTATGATTTGTTAGGATAGGACAATATCTGGCTGAGATACAACTATTCAACAACAACAACAACAACAAATCAAAATATTGAGAAAATCGCCTTTAAAAATGTCCAAATGAAGTTCTTAGCAATGCATGTAACTAATCAAAAATAAAGTTTTGATATATTTACGGTAGGAAAATTACAAAATATCTTCATGGAACATGATCTTTACTTAATATCCTAATGATTTTTGGCTTAAAAAAAAAATCGATAATTTTGACCCCATGTACAGTGGGTACGGAAAGTATTCAGACCCCCCATGTATATTGTTGGCTATTGCTACAAATATACCCGTGCTACTTATGACTGGTTTTGTGGTCACAGATAACCTTTGTTTTAGGGTAACAAATGAGTAATATGAAACTTTATTTAGTGCTTTGAAAAGATAAAATCAGTTTCTTTGCTTATGTTTTTGTAGTGCTGGACCCTACCCGTGTTTGCAAGGGCAAGGGTGCTGTTACTTTGAGGGCCACACTAGTGCACATCGATGATGAGGACGGCACAAGACAAGAGCTATCCAAGAACGCTGCCAAAAGTGAGTTGGAAAGGCAGGATTTGTCGATAGGAGAGTGCTCTGAATATATTGCACAAAGCAGGACAATGCCAGACTAATTGTTGTGTGCGGTCATAATGTTACTTAGGATATGATTGTAGCTGCAGATAATGTGCACTAAAAAGTGCTTTTATTTTTTTCTGTACCCCCAGTAACTGGAAAGATCTCTGTTTACAGGAATGGTGCTTTCTTGAGTTTCCTCTTTTCCTATTAATGAAAAGGTTCATGTTATGTTATTTTGACAGTCAATGGGCATGGTGTGGTTAGTTGCTAAATTGCACAGTAAATTATAGAGACAAATTAGTATTTTTTGTGGAACATATACAGCATTGTCTGACAGTCAACTTCATTGCTCAAATAACTTTCAGTGAATGTTCATATTTGCAGGGGATAATCAAAGACGTCTTTTGTTCACACCCACTTTGAGCTGTGGAAATGGAAACCTTCAGCGTGGACGTTTTCAACATCTCCATGTTGGGACTATCCTGGCTAACTGCCAGCACTTGGGAGAGATGTCTTAATTGTTGTTGTGCCTGAATAAAAAGGCCATTGGAACAAACACTTCTTACAGTGGGTTCAATGGTCCCCTTGTTCTTCTGACAAAGTTCAGAGAATCGTTTTTTTCCAGTCATAAATTAGCATCTCAGTGGATGAAGTCTTTCTGTGGGGTTCAGTTCTGACAGATTCTGGCTGGTGATTCGTTTAATGGAGGATTAAGGAATTTGTTGTGGCATAAATTGTGGTTAGTTCTGGAAACAAACAGGTTTGCTGCCAAGTGAAGGCAGCTTTATTTCACGTTTATGCCTTTTTAGGGTTTAAAAGTGCCTTGGAGATTGGCTGATCCTTTGAGAATCCAAACTGTTTGGAATTGTTACAGGTGCGGTCAATGGAGATGCCACAGAAACAAATCTGGCTGAGAGAAGTGTAAACAACACCGGAGCTGATTTAAATTCAACTCAAGTCAATGAGACACCAACAAAGGTGAGTCACCATGTCTGAACTTCGTTCCTTTTTAGCAATGCTTTGCTTTCTTGCAAAAATGCCATTTAGAGATTGATATCAGTGCTAATTAAACAGCTCGATCCCAAGATCTCTGGAGACATTGAGGAACAACACCGAGGAACTCCTCAATCTTAAAATCATTTAAATGAGTGCAGTGAATGAATGTTGTCAATATTTTACAAGCAAGATGACATTTAGTATTTTTTTTATTTGCATTATCAGCTATAATGGTATAGATCCAAGGTGATCAATTATGTATCCCTAAAGGTACTCTAGGGAATTAGTGGAGAAGTTACTTGAAAAATTAATGTAATTTCTGACTATTAACTAACTTTTAACTAGTGATTTGTTAAGCAAGTGTTGTTATTGTTACCTAAAACTATTACTGTTAAAATAATAACATTTTTATTAGAAAAAAACTGAAATAACATAAAAATATTACATTAAAAACCTAAAAATGCAACTAACTGAAAAAGTTAAGTTGAATAAGTTGAAGTACTAAAATTACTAAAACTTAAAAATAAGTTAAAGCTGAGTAGAACACTGACAAAAACACACAACAAAATGACTAAAACTTAAAGGGATAGTTCACCCAAAAAAATTCTGTCATTAATTACTCGCCCTCATGTTGTTCCAAACCTGTATGACCTTCGTTCATCTTCGGAACATGAATTAAGATATTTTTGATGAAATGTGAGAGCTCTCAGACCCTGCATAGACAGCAACGCAACTGAAATGTTCCCAGGTCCAGAAACGTAGTAAAGACATTGGTAAAAAAAAGTGCATGTGACATCAGTGGCTCAACTTCAGTTTTGCGAAGCTACGAGAATACTTTTTGAGCGCAAAGAAAACAAAAATAACATAATTTATTCAACAATTCTCCCCCGAGTTACGTCTTCCGCCATTTTAGAGTATCACATCACATAGGCACGCTTTCCCCTAAGCATAAACAACGTTGATTACGCAGATTACGTTCATGCAAACGTTTTCTCCTCCGAAAGTAAACAACGCTGATTATGTCGATTACGCTCTTGGGTACTTTCCAATATGGCGGAAGACGTAACTCGGGGAGAAGAATTGTTAAATAGTTATTTTTTGTTTTCTTTGCGCTCAAAAAGTATCCTCGTAGCTTCGCAAAACTGAAGTTGAGCCACTGATGTCACATGGATAGTTTTACCGATGTCCTCACTACGTTTCTGGACCTGGGAACATTACAGTTGCGTTGCTGTCTATGCAGGGTCTGAGAGCTCTCACATATTGTATCAAAAATATCTTAAATTGTGTTCCGAAGATGAACGAAGGTCTTACGGGTTTGGAACAACATGAGGGTGAGTAATTAATGACAGTTTTTCATTTTGGGGTGAACTAACCCTTTAAATTAAAATTAAAGGGATAGCTCACCCAAAACTGAAAATTTCATCATTTATGCACCCTCGTGTTGTTCCAAAACTGTATGAATTTCTTTCTTCTGTTGAACATAAAATAAATTATTTTGAAGAATGCTGGTAACCAAACAGTTGCTGGTAGCCATTGACTTGCATAGTATTTTTTCTCCATGCTATGGGAGTCAATGGCTACCACCAACTGATCTCTTTAAAATGAAAACTGACCATGTAAAATATTTTAATTTTAGTAATTTTGTTTAAATTATATAAATGAGTAGCCTACTATAATATTATAAAAATAAAACTGGCTAAGCATTATATAAATCTTTAAAAAAAGTTATTATAAAGCTGAATACTCCTGGTGTTGATGACCTCCTCAAGACAGAAGACAAATAATTCAAAGTAAACAAATACTTTAAGTGCAATTCTATGCTATTTGTCATTGTCTTTATCAGCATTGCAGAGGAATCTTTGCAACAATTGTTTGCTTGAGAGAGAAGTGTAGTGAAGCAAATTTCATGCAAATTTCCCCCACAAGGAATTCTGGGAAATTCAAACTTGTCTGTATTTCACAACCACTAGAGTGTCTGTCTGTTTTTGTGTGTTCTCCTCAGGTGGACTCACCTGTAAGTGAGAGTCAGTCTCAGCTCACGTCCTGCCTTGATCAGCCGAGTGCTATTACCTCATCAGCCAAAGTGTCCTCTTCATATCCCCCCACCAGTAGCGTCAACCCAACAATCGTCTTGCTGCAGCACAGCAGAGGTAAATACCAGCCTCTCAGTACTTCAGGATGGACCAAAAGTAAAAGTATCATGTGCATTATAAAGCTAAATGCTTTCACGATGTAGAAAGAGAAACGATAATGTTCTGTCCCTTGTGATTAGTTTATCTCAAAGTTATGTTTGAGGTAAAATTAACATAAGACGTTTGCATGACTGAATGGCATCTCTGTAGTTATTATTAAAGTGGTAGTGTCTGTTGTATGGTTATGGGAGTGGAGATTAAACATTTTGTATAAAATGTAAAAAATGTAACTTTTAGTTACAGTATTCAGCAGCTGTTAAAATGAATGAGGAATAGCATTGTGATAATAACAGAAACTTGTTTGATTCCAACAGAATTCAATTACAAAGTACATCTGTCAAATATATATATATATATATATATATGACCTTCTTAGAAAAAACAGTTCCCGTTTGAATAGAGCTGTAGCAATTATTTATTCATTTAAATATTAAATCATTCAGTGATGCTTTTAAAGATTTTGTCCTAGATAAGTGTCAGCTGAAATAACCAGACCAGTGTGTATTTTATCTTGTGTTCTGGATGCTTATGATCCGAGTTTGTGCTTCAGAAGCTGTGGCGGAGCAGGGCAGTGGCCCTAATCGGAGCCCTGCAGTCAGCCAGAACAAATATTCCTCTGAGACTCCAGCAGACATGTTAGGAAAGAGAATGAGACTGTCTGAACATTCAGCTATCCCAGCACCCAGAGTCCCAGTACGGGTAAGAAACAACCACTTCTAGTTCTCAAGATATACCTGTGCAGACTTTGACTACATAACTATATCCAAAATCTTCTATAAATAAAACACCATCTGTACAATTTTGTTTTCTAGAACACAGAGCTGTCAAAGGACTGGTACAGAAACATGTTCAAGCAGATTCACAAAGTCCCAGGTAAAGATGCTCCTTGGGAATCACCTACAATCAACACTTTTATTTCATCTTTTTGTGTGTCCAAATCTGAAGGTCACATTTCAGTCATGTATCTATGTGTGTAGTCATCTTTGTCAGCATGTGTTTTGTCTTTCACTCACCTTACTCAGAGCCTGTCGAAGAAAATCCATATCGTCCCACCTACATATTTCCAGAGAGCAATGACAGGCCACTGAAAACCAGAGGTACCTTAGTAATAGTTATAATCTGATATTTCTTAACATTTCTCCATGTCACTCTTTTCTGTCTGTCATTTAGCATCACATTTATCTCTATGTATGTGTTGGGTAATTTTATATACAGTTAATGGAAACCAAAATATAAAGGATATATACACTGCTGTTCAAACGTTTGGAGTCAGTAAGATTTTGTAAATGTTTTTGAAAGGCTGCATTTATTTGATCAAAAAACACAGTAAAAATAGTAATATTGTGAAATATTATTACATTAACTATGTTCTATTTGGATATATTTTGAAATGTAATTTATTTCTGTGATTTCTGTTAAATAATTGAAATTTGAAACAATTGAATTTTTTTGTAACTTTATAAATGTCTTCAATGTCAATTTTGATAAATTTAGTGCATCCTTTCTGAATAAAAGTATTAAGTATTATAATTATGGGGGTTATTTCATAAATGTTAAATGTGCAGCAGCAGTATTTCTTACATGCTCACAGCTAGCAGTATGTCTGTGGATGTACTGGCAGCAGCAACCAGGGCCGGCGCTAGTGGGGTGAAAGGTGGTGACGATTATAGGGGCCCACAGCTGTGGGGGAGCCCCTGGGGGAATCCCGCTCGGAGCGAGGCGCATAATATGGAGATTTACTTGTAAATATTAATATGCATTTCTATAGCCCTAACTGATTTTAAAATATAATTTTGGCAGCTCCTGAAATGGGTCGTATTGACAGTACCTGAGTGGTTGAAGAATACACTGCAGCGCACATTCAAAGACGTGCATTTATTGCTTGGACGGAGTAAGAACACCTAAAATGCACGTGTAGATTCAGTCGAGTGATAAAGTTTACCCTCTTCAACTTAATGCTGCTGAACTGAATTTATGGAGAAAACTATTTGCTAAAATAACCATAATAACATTAACAGCACCGCTGAAATACAAGCGCGCAGTTCTGTCAGTCAGATGCGCGTGAAAGCTGCATGTGAGTGAGTGAGTGAGTGAGTGTGAGCGAAGTGACATGTGGCCAAGTATGGTGACCCATACTAGGAATTAGTGCCATTCATAAAGGCAGTCACTTGCTTCGTTTCTGATTGAATCAGCCATTTGAACGAATCGATTGAATGAATGATTGAATGACTCACTTATGACAGGGATTTGCCGCCACCTACTGGCGCATTTAGTTTTATATTCAGAGTATCTTTTCTTTTTCAAATAATTTCATATTTCACTATTTATTTGTATTTTTTATGTTGAATTAAAATATTTATTTCTAAAGCTACTTATATTTCAGCTACCTTTTTGTAATGTCTATTCAGTGTTTTTTTTCTAAATTAACGCAATGATAACTACTATCTTTAATAATAACTTTATCTTTAATCGGCACATGATGTACATGTTAATTAATTAATCTCATTAATTTGAGATTCATTTGATTAGTTAATCGGCACATTATGTAATTACATTTTTTTTAATAATCACTTGACCCCCCCCACTGTGTAATTCACACCCTGATTATATTCAATTAACATTTCGTTCCCAAACTTGGCTGAGAATAGCCGCAGTATATATAATGTGTTAATGTGCCACATCGTTGGCTCCATCCTATGTCCATTCTTTCACAAATCCCAATGTGCAATAGATGCTGATTTATATGTACACATTGTCAACAAATTGATTGTCCTAAAGAGGCATCATAGCACTCAAGGTGAGCTGTGGTAATAGAGCTATTTTCAACACACCGAGAAAACCACATCACCATGTATTTAAAACTCACAGATTGATTACCTCCATTTTAAGAGCTTTCATACCTCTGTGATGTGTTTCGTGGCTGTGCTTTTAGAGAACCATTCTGCTGAATTATTAAAGCAGTCACAACACACCTAATGGGCTTTGTGTATCCATTGGATTCTTTAGAATGCACAGTTAGCAATGCCATTCCAATGCTGGTCTCAAGTATTTGTTAAATAATCATCATTTGAATGCCTCCTTGAAGTAGTTTGCGGTGAAAATGTCTTATTTTTATTGTAACTAACCAGCTAATGGAATATTCCAGCATGACGTAAACACACTGCTGTGGTTATAGTGCCATCTACTGGTTGGATCAGTCTGAGGAATTAAAGTGGCCTTGTCTTGGAGCTGCTGTTTAGTTGATAATGGACTGCTATGTATGTCACAGTAATCCCTGTAATTTTCACCGAGTATATATTAGATGTTTAGAATACCTCCCTGGAGATGCTGCTTTAGAGCACAGGCTACACTAAGTACAGCACAATAAGAAAACAAGTTACAAACTACCTTAGAAATACATTTGAAATGTGAAATAAAAACATTGTAAGTTCTCAAAATATGTCAGCTGTATTAACTTTTATTTGTACCTAATAAGAATTTTCTGACTCTTTCAGATGACAGGCCATCATATGGTGGTGAGGATGGTAAGTGTTTTCGTTTTAATCCTTCGAGAGAAAATATAAACTACACTATGAATTCTTATTTAAAGCAAGGCTGTCTTTCAGTGCGGGCAGTCCCTCGCTCCAAGAGTGCTGTAGACATGGGGAGCTCCAGAGGACAGCTGCCTGTGCCAACACGCACATCGTCCCTAATTCCTCAGAGGTGAGCCGTGACATGAAACAAATATTATGATTAATGAAGCAGATTCTAGCACATTCATTGACTGATGTCTTGAAACTTTCATATTAGAGTGTGAATTCTTGCACCATGCTAATGTTGCTCATGATAGAGATGATGACATTTCTTCACAAAACCTCAATATGTGAAACATTGTAATTCTTAACAAGCGTGTGTTGGCTTAGGAGATGTTGCTGTTAAAATTCATAATAGACGTTTATTTCAGTAATCAGTGTTCACTAGCAGAAACGTCATTACCATAATGTATCTTTACCTTGTATCTTTGTAGTTTATTTTAGGTTTTATATATAAATATACACACACACACACACACACACACAAATCTAAAATAAATTGGGGATAAACAAGGTTTTAGCATTTTGAAAAAATTTAAACAAAAGCATTTAATGACATTAAATGAATAAAACATTTTTAAGATTCTGCACTATTTGTGGGTAACATGGATCATCAAGATTTGCATAAATAAAGAAATTCTGAAATATGTTAATTATTTAAATTAGGATTTTTCGAAATCAAAAAATATGTACTTTTTTCAAGATTCTTCGATGAATAGAATGTCAGAAAGAACAGCATTTATTTTAAATATAAATCCTTTGTAATATTTCAGTAGAGGTAATATTACAAAAGATTTTAATGCATTAAATTGATTAAAATAAAGCATTAATTTATTTAAAAAAATCTTACTGATCCCAAACTTTTGAATGGCAGTATAATGTTAAATATATTAGATGTTTAGAATACCTCCCTGGAGATGCTGCTTTAGAGCACAGGCTACACTAAGTACAGCACAATAAGAAAACAAGTTACAAACTACCTTAGAAATACATTTGAAATGTGAAATAAAAACATTGTAAGTTCTCAAAATATGTCAGCTGTATTAACTTTTATTTGTACCTAATAAGAATTTTCTGACTCTTTCAGATGACAGGCCATCATATGGTGGTGAGGATGGTAAGTGTTTTCGTTTTAATCCTTCGAGAGAAAATATAAACTACACTATGAATTCTTATTTAAAGCAAGGCTGTCTTTCAGTGCGGGCAGTCCCTCGCTCCAAGAGTGCTGTAGACATGGGGAGCTCCAGAGGACAGCTGCCTGTGCCAACACGCACATCGTCCCTAATTCCTCAGAGGTGAGCCGTGACATGAAACAAATATTATGATTAATGAAGCAGATTCTAGCACATTCATTGACTGATGTCTTGAAACTTTCATATTAGAGTGTGAATTCTTGCACCATGCTAATGTTGCTCATGATAGAGATGATGACATTTCTTCACAAAACCTCAATATGTGAAACATTGTAATTCTTAACAAGCATGTGTTGGCTTAGGAGATGTTGCTGTTAAAATTCATAATAGACGTTTATTTCAGTAATCAGTGTTCACTAGCAGAAACGTCATTACCATAATGTATCTTTACCTTGTATCTTTGTAGTTTATTTTAGGTTTTATATATAAATATACACACACACACACACACACACACAAATCTAAAATAAATTGGGGATAAACAAGGTTTTAGCATTTTGAAAAAATTTAAACAAAAGCATTTAATGACATTAAATGAATAAAACATTTTTAAGATTCTGCACTATTTGTGGGTAACATGGATCATCAAGATTTGCATAAATAAAGAAATTCTGAAATATGTTAATTATTTAAATTAGGATTTTTCGAAATCAAAAAATATGTACTTTTTTCAAGATTCTTCGATGAATAGAATGTCAGAAAGAACAGCATTTATTTTAAATATAAATCCTTTGTAATATTCCAGTAGAGGTAATATTACAAAAGATTTTAATGCATTAAATTGATTAAAATAAAGCATTAATTTATTTTAAAAAATCTTACTGATCCCAAACTTTTGAATGGCAGTATAATGTTAAATATAGCATAATTTTTATATTATGGATATCTTTTTTAATATTTACATTTCACCTGAATGATTGTAATGATAATATAATTTGGAGAAAACTGAAATGTGTAGCTGCACACATGTTGGTGTAGATTGGTTAGATGATTAAAGTGCTTTTACATAAAGGATGTATGCTGTGTTTTTAAAACATACATACGCAGCATGTATGGGAACGTGCAGCCCAAACTCGCCCTTGTTGGTTGCCATGGCGACTCTCCACCTCCCTCGCTGTATCACTCCATCTCTCCCCCCATGCATCCCTGCAGGAATGAGTGGGAGCCCCCTGACAAGAAAGTAGACACCAGGAAGTACCGCGCCGAGCCCAAGAGCATATTTGAGTACGAGCCAGGAAAGTCTTCAGTGCTGAAGCTGGAGAGACCGGTATGATGCTCTTCTTTATACATGCATGTTTGGTTGCTGGTGTTGGTGGTGCAGACCTGTGCATGCCGTTTGACGCTGCAAGAGCTGGTTTCTGCTTTTCTGTTTCACTTACAAGGACAGCACACTCACAGCTGTGTGTCTCTTGGTAGTCTTATTAAGTGACCTCGGTAGGTGATTTGCCCTGGCGACCCTTTTCAATGTTGTGATACGTAGCATATATATCTTGTGTGTTGGCGCACACAGTACACACAGTAATGTTAGAATATAGGAAGTAGGAGGACCCTTTACTCAGCTATAAAAAGCTCATCAATAAGTGACACTGTAGTGTCCAGTCCCAAGAATAGAGTTAAGAATAGAGGCTTCTGCAGGGGCTTGTACTGTATGTGTCTGCAGTCTTGTTTTTTTTTCATGGAAGGTTTATTACTATGACATTCAATGATTCAATCTTGTAAGCGTGACTCGTTCTAGGAGCTGCTGCTATTACATAATGTCTTTCTCATGACATACCGCTGTAATAGGTTTATTGTAGAAGTAAAGCAAAGCATGTTGGATCCTCGTCAGTGAAACAACTGAAGCAGAGAAAGTGCGAGCTACATTAGGTCTTTGTTTTTTTTCTCATTGTTAGGGAAAGTAATTAAAATGGCACTAGGTCAGGTCCTATCTAGGGCAGAAGATAATGTGCTGCCTGTGTCTATTCATCTGATTTAGCTCTGCAGAAATAATCCTTCTTTACTGTGAATATATAGTGTTGTGAAATATTTGTATTGTTTTTAAGTGATATGTACACTACCATTCAAAAGTTTGGGGTTGATAACAATTTTTAAATGTTTTTTAAAGAAGGTTATTATGCTTATTTATTTGATCATATAGTAAAAACAGTCAATATTTAAACTATTATTATAATTGAAAGTAACTTTTTTCATTTCAAGATATTTTTAGATATAATTTATTCCTGCAATGACATTACTTCAGTCTTCAGAGTCACATGATCCTTATTCCTTCAAAAGGAAATCTTGTGTAACATCATAAATGTCTTTACTGTCACTTTTGATCAATTGAATGTGTATTTGCTGAATAATAATAAAAAAAACTTACTGACCCCAAACTTTTGAATGATAGTGTAATGTTAAATCTAATGCAATTATTATTGCATTATATTTGTTAAGTATAGCAAATATTTTTACAAACATCAATGATAAAATATTGATATTCATAGCAGAAGTCTAAAATTATGCATTTTGAGTATATGAATATGTGTCTATTCTCCTTATTCACTTGTTATAAAGTGTAAAAGATTTCGCCCTTGCTCTAATGGATCCCTTTCCATCATCAGGACTTTGCCTTTATGAGATCTTTATTTCCTATTTCCTGTTCCTTTGTCTGCTGAGATCAACCAGATGTTCTTGCAATAAGTCATCAAGCTGGAAACAAATCCAATTCATGTTTCTTCCACTCTCTCAGCCTGGAGCCTTTCTTACTGTCTGAGATCATGACATTAAGAGATACTTCATGTAACATCATCATTCAGTCTCATTGTCTTTGTATTCTGAATCTGCCTCTCTCTCTCTCTCTCTTTCTTTCTTTCTTTCTTTCTTTTTCTCTCTCTCTCTTTGTCCTCCTTTCTTTGTTGCCATATTTCTGTAGACTCAGGACATAAGTCCAGAAGATGTAGATTTAGAGAATGAGCCTTGGTATAGGTACTTTTCTGAGATGGAGTTTGGCAAAGCGGTAAGTTGGCATATTAAAGTGACCCATTTTTATAAAAAAAAAACTGCATGTCATCCCTTTTTTTTCGTACAGGACCCTAAATATTTTTTGTCTGTCTATGACTACATTCACACTGCGAGCCATAGTGCTCAATTCTGACTTTTGCTCAGATCTGATTCTTTGTATATCTGTTCACATTTTTGTTGTAAATGTGGCCAATATATGATTTCCAGTGTGAACAGATCATGGTTCTGAACTGAACTGAATATGAACAGAGTTGCTAGGTTTTCACAACAAAATCCACCCAATTGCTTCTCAAAACTAGTCCAAAACATAGATGAAAAACAACCCGCAGCAACAGTGAAAATTTAGCCCAATTCCATGGGAAATCTGTGGGCTTGGCAACATTTGTGCAGATACAGAAGTAAACACGGAGGACATAAAGTAAGCAATTATGCATTTATTTATCGTGTGATCTGACGCAGAAGCCAGCAAAATTATGCGAGGCAATATGAAAAATAAAGACAAGGATGTGACAAAAGAGAGCAGAGCTTTAAAAGAAACCTTTATGATATGAGTGAGTTTTGCTTGTATATAGAGTTGTCACTGTAATACTTACAAGTTCTGACACATCACTGTACTTTCACTAACTACCTTTCGCAACTGTCTTGATAACTTTGGGTATGTAAAATCTTTGAATTGACTTCCATGAGCGCAGAATCGTCACGAATGTTGATCTAGAGTGATGTAAAAGTCAAATTAATTCTGATATGACTGTTCAGACTGCGTTTGCATTGCAAAACATCTGACCTGTATTGGATTTAGTAACATATATGGAAGTGGCACAAATCGGAATTGAAAAGATCAGATTCCATGTGGTTTGTGCTGTTCACACTGTCATGAGAAAAAGGAATTGGATTTGGGCCACATTTGCCTGCGGTGTGAACGTAGCCTATTAGAACCGTTCTTATGTCACTTCCTGTCTGCACTGACCATTCATCTATATGTTCCTTATCCAGCCCATTGTAACTGAGTGCATAGCAGTACAAAAACAACACAAAAGTAGTAGTGGAAGAGTTCTTCTGAATGTGCTTCAGAAGCTGCATCAGAGATAGAAACGGTTAACGGTTCAGTCAAACATGTCATACACCACCTCTCAGTTTCCCAGTATGCTTCCTGATCATATTCTAAATCCTGAACCTTTTTTCACCACCTTTTTCATCTCATATTTGTCTTTTCTGACTGTAATTGAATCTCAGTGTGTTATCTTTTGCACTAAAACATTAAACTGGCATCTGATTTGAAGTTGGGGTTCATTTGACAAAAAACTACTGTGGCTTGTGCCTCTAGGAAGCTCTCGTCTTTTTTGAGATCCTGCTATTTAACTGGCAGTAATTCTGGTGTTGGCACAGATGGCTTCGAGTAGGTTTTCATTTTTATGGAGTGCCCAGACTGGAAACAGACAGCAAGCTGTGATGTTACAACTAGTTTGGTAAAGATGACAGACTCAACATTAGCCAGACTGTTTCCCCTGTGCTTAACCCTGTTGCCTGTTTTCAACAGCGTTGCCTGGCAACATTGAGTGAAAAGTTGGCCTCTGCATCATCCGCTTATTGGTTGTCATATTCGCTCCATCCACCTTAGCTAATGCGAAAGTACGTAACATCCTGCCGGAATCTCTCCGCTCATGGCGATTATATTTTTGCAGTGTAAACTTTTTGTCTGACCTTGACGCAGTAAGTAAAGCACTGTAAAGTAGCGCTGGTGTGCTGTCACCGGGTTCAGTGAAGGATAGAAAGACTGTCGCTATGCTATCAGTGGCACAGAGCCTGTGCAGCGTTGTCATCAACTCAACACCTGGGAGAGTATATAGCACATTCGTTCACACTTATTTGCTTGGAGACACGTACCATGATACACCCCAAGGTGATTGGGTTGTTCACCTTTCTTTTTAGAAACTCACTATGATTGCTTTTAGGGTTGGAGATACTGTGTAACTAGAACATTAGTCATTTTAAATATTGATATTTATATACTATAAAAACTGTTTTTCAATGTCTTCTTACTTTTTTGAACTTTAAACCGCATAAACACATTTCATTACACCAAATACACAAAATAATGTTCTTTTTAGCAGCATCATATGACCCCTTTAAAGCTTTTATTCAGCATGGACACATTAAATTAACCAAAAGTTACAGTAAAGACTTATACAGTGTTAAAAATGAATTTCTTTTGAACTTTCTATTCTGAAAAAGCATCATTGATAATAAAAAAAATAAAAATAAATGTAACACCAAACCAATTTATTAGAATTATTGAATAAAAATGAATTAGTAAATAATAAAAGGATCATGTGACACTGAAGACTAGAGTTATGGCTGTTGAAAATTCAGCTTTGCTTTCACAGGTATAGATTACAATTAAAATGTATATATTAAAATAGAAAACAGCTATTTTAAATTGTAATAATGTTCTAGAATATTACTGTCCATGCATGCATCCTATTTGAATGACATTTATGCCATGTCTTTAGAATCGGTTCTTCTGACAGTGAAACCAAACCCTCGAGTCACAGGCTGCATTCCTGATGGATAGACTAATAAATCTGACCATCAGCGTCATGGCACAAGTTTAGAGAAGGTTCCTGTCTCTCTCCAGATTTCCTTGTTTAGAGACGAAAGTGAGGAGTCACTTCCCTTGAGAGCGGGTGTCTCAGAGTCTGCTGATGCAGCCCGGTCTCACTGTGCTCATGATGCAATGCTGAAATACTGAAATAGTCTTAGTTTCACAAGCCAGTGTGAAATTCTCATTGGCTTAGTAGGATTCCCATAAAAATTCAGGTGTAAAAATAAAATTAAGCACATTTCTAAAGCTTTGTAAGCACTCTCATGAAATGTGTTGAGATATTTTGTTAGTATTAGAAATATTAACAGCAGTATCCGTCATACCAGCTTAAGTCCTAAAGCTCTTAGACTGAGGTCACAGAAAGTCCCAGCAATAGACTTGTTGAGCTTGTTGACTCCTAACTGGGGGCAACTTTAAGTATGAAGCTGCATGCGTGTCTGTCTTTAAGTGGGTTGAAGGTTATTGGAGACTGCATGTGACCTGGCTTCCTCAGTAATTGACACACCGAACTCTATGACAGTGACGAGCACAGTCAGCCCGTCTCCTGCAGATCCTGTGTTTACCAGCATATGGAATGACATATACAGTAGTACTGCACCAAAAGTTCATAACCATTACATGTTTGTTCAAGTAGAGACAACAACATTCTTTTGTAGAAGGTGTGTTTTGATAATAGCAGTTTATCAGGGAATGCAAGAAAAAGGTTGCATGTAAAGTTATACTTTCATAAATGGACACATAAGCCCCATTTGTTCATGTGGTTAAGTTGCACAGTACCTCACTCCCATTGTATGCTATTTATATAACAAAAGTTGTAAATTTTCTCGAGTCATCTCCTGCACCTGTTTGGAAACTAGCACATGAAAATGAACAAACATTTTTAACACACTGTTCCACTGACTAGCCTTAACAATCAGGGGAAAGGAATTTACATCCTAGGAAATACTGTGGTAAACATTTCTTGATCTTTATTATGGCCTTTTTTGAAATAGCAGCTAGAACTATAAGGCACATAAGCTAGAAATATATGGTTTAATTTAAACATAGTTTTATAGACATTTCCTAAAAAAAAGAAAAAAAAAAGAAAAAAAAGTCTTCTTGCAGTGTCTTGCAGTGATAAATGCTTCTAGCACATTGAGGCAGATCCCAACAAATATGAAAATTCATCATTTACTCACCCTTATGTCTTTCCAATCAGTATGACTTGTTTTATTTTATTTATTTGAATACAATTATTTTATTTGATCTTATTTAATTTTTTATTTCACCCCATCGTCAAAATGTTTCAGAATATCGTCTTTTAGGTTCGGCAGTTAAAACAAAGTCACATAGGTTTGTAACAACACGATGGTGAGTAAATGACGACAGAATTTTCATTTTTGGGTGAACTATGCCTTTTAAGGATAGATTCATTGTACATTAAGGCCTACATACTGAAATTAGACCCTGTATACCCCAATGTGACAATTGGACATACCAGATAAGACGATGGGAAATTCTCAAGGAATACTATATCAGCATCATTACTTCCTGAGATGTCATTTCCTTTAAAGTTAAATACCTAATATGAGAAATGCTATTTCGGGTTGGCATTTCAAATAACGTAAGGCTTTGAAACCATATCCTCAGTGACATACTGTGCACGTCACTTTCACCCACCGTCTCCGTGGGTCATGTCAAGAATGTCAAGTACTCAGCTTAAATCTAACTTATAACAGTTCTGACTTTACTGCCGTGGTTGTTTGTGAGTCTGTTTCCTTTAGTCCTCCTTACAGTTAAGGATAAACAGAGTCAACTTTTTAGTCTGTTTACATGGTATTTTATACCATACTATTTTAAAAACGTGCTGTCAGATACAGTATACAGGGCTTTCTGTACTTTATAATGCCAGTAACAGTGTTTATATTATACTTAATTGCATAATTTCACTTTCTTATCATCTCATCTCAACAGCTGCATCACACTAAGGTATTGTACTGGCTGTCACAAGTATTTAGATTAAGATGCGTGCCACTTCAGATAAGGCTTTCATGCATTCTTCCTGTTTGCTTATTCATCGCATCTGTGCCAAGTCTCGTGCGAAAGCCTCTTGGGATGCTGTGCCGGCTGTTTTTTAGAGAGAAGAAAAATGGGAAGAAAGAAAAAAAGGGACAAAAATACTGGAGGTGGCTTTGCACACGTAATAGCGGCTTGTTATGTCACTGGGTGTTCCTCAGGAAACAAAACTTCTAGAACATGACGCTGTATAAATAGAGTGATATTCTCTCACAAAGCCTGCATTCATTTGTGAAGGTTATTCATGATCCTCTTTACCCCAGCAACCAATGGGATGACCCATGTTGCGGTCAGGAGTTGAACTTTTCTTCTGTCGATCACAAGAGGGGGTCGTGGGGTGCTGGCACGCATGTGGCATGCCTCTGAAGGGACAGCGGCAGGCTGGGATTGTGCAATCGTATTTGCAAACACCACATGTGCTTTTTTCTTCGGAGGTGTGCTGTCACGCTATCTTTACCATCTGTGACGTGCACTTGGGGAAAAGCAACAGAAACAGCAGCCTAAAATTAGACACCTGTAAACCATTCAAATTGCAAGGGGGGCTATAGGCCGTCCCAGCGAATGGCTCTCTCTGATCTGCCGTCGGGAGTTGCTGCCCAGCAATAACAGCCACTCTCCTTATTGGCTTGACGCACACAGTGCTGGGTAGATTACTTATAAATTGTTGTCTGTTACTGATTACAAATTACATGATGGAAATTGTAGTCAGTAATGTAATCCATTACATTGCACATTTTAGGTAATAATATCAGACTACTTTTAATTACTTTTAGATTACTTTTGACCTAACTCGTTGATCGCATAGATTTGAATAGGATTATTGTGTACCACATAATTTTTTTATATTATCAACAGTGAGAAGTGCATTAAATGTCACAGTTTTTCGAACTGGGGTTTGTAAAGTAATTGCAGTGGTTTTGTGAATTTATCAAAGAAAAATAAATACTAGCTTACCTGAACACTAAAAATAGAAATATTTCATTTGGTTACCTGCATGTCAGTGTGACCATTAACCGACATCAGAGAACTGAGAACTGATGTTAAATTATAATATTTAAAAATGAAATCTCGCATAATAATATTAAATAATAATATTTAAATAATATATGAATATTTAATATTTTAATACAAAAAGTACCTGTCATCTGATTATAAGCATTTTAAAATGTAATATAATCTAACTACAAGTACTTAATGTTTGGAATCTGATTACGTAATCAGATTACATGTAATCAGTTGCTACCCAGCACTGGATGCCCGTTATGTGAACTTCCTTTGATGTACTATTAATATCGCCCTGTGATTTTTGTACAGCATGTTCGATCCGACACTCGTGATATTCTTAATATATGTGTAAATCTATTTGTGTGTGTCTACCCATGTAATTTGGCCTGCTTCCCGCACCAGCTGGTTAATTGTCTCCCTGTCTGGCCGGCCAGTAATGAGAATGACTCAATAGAAGACAAAAGAGAGCCTCGGTGAGAGACAGCAGCTGATTGGTGGAAGCACTGACAGCCCCCTCCCAAAATGGGCGCCCCTCACAGCCCCTGCTAATCCCACCCCTCGCTCCCAGTCGCTTGTTTTCCCCCCTAACTTGCATGCAGGCCAAAATATTTGCTTACTTCTCCACGCTCAGCTTCGTCCTGAGGACCTAAGAGTTTCAGAGCCCTTGACGTTCGCAAGCCTGACTGACTAATGCGCCTTCTCCCTTTCCAGCTGCCAGAGAGTCAAGCCTTTGGAGCTATCAATGACTTCTTTGTTTGGTTTGTTGCAGAGTGCCCCCTCTTTCAGCCCCTTGGAAACACCTTCCGACCTTCAGCAATAGTAAGTCCATGTTCCTTTTTTCCCTCACAAATGTTCCTCTCCACCATTTTCTGATGCTCTTGTTGTATGTGGGTGTGTTTGTGTGTCTGTCTCGCTCTCCAGCCATCTATTCTCAGGCAGAGCTGTCACGGGGCTCTGGAGATTTCCCTCGTTTCCTTTCTTCTCTTTCCTGAACGACCATTTGCAATACAGGCTGTATGTGTTCGTGTGATGTATTTTTGCGTGCATGTGTGCGTGCGTTTGTGGAGGGGGCTCGTTGGAGGAGAGGCATTGGATAGTGTGATGATTTGTTTCGTGCTGAAACTAGTGTCTGAAAATAAAGCCTGGATGTCTTTTTACGAGAGATAAGGGACCTTGTACCTCCACCCATTCTGTTAGGAGAAATCCCCCAAATCTTAATGTCCTGTTTGTGAAAGTGAAGTGTCATTTTTTTTTATTGACATATTTCCCTGAAATGGGGAATTTACGTAATAACGCCTTCACAACAGCAATATTGTGTCTTTATTATGTCTTTAATATTAATATTATGTCTTTAAATGATGCTTTTAAGATGATTTTTTTTATTTTACATTTGAACATGCGTTAAAAAATATATTAATAACTTTAATCATTCATTTTATGAATTATATAATTGTAAAATAACTTAATTTACAAAGAAAACATTTATTAATTTAGCATACAGTTATCCAAAGCATTGTTTACAAAAAAATGTCAGAATAGTATAAGCTAGAACAGGAAGGGATATAAAAAATAGTGTAAACATAGAAGAATATTTTTTTTTATTATGATTATTTTACCTTTATTTATTTAGCTTATTTATTTCTTATTTCCTTATTCATTTTCTTTCTTTTTTGAATGATTTTGAAGCTTGAAGTTACAGAGTTCTCCAAATACTTTGATGTGCTTATTCTTAATGTGAATATTTGCGGGAAAAACATCTGAAGTATTATCTAAAGCATGCCCAACCAAAATACAATCAATTTAATGTCATGTAAGCTTTCTTTAAAAGCATTCTTTAAAAAATAACTGGGGATTTGAACAGTAAACATATTCATTAGTTAAAACAGTTTAACATTTTTCTTTGCTTCCTTCGCCAGAACTGTAACGGTAAAACATACGAATGAATGAATCTTTTGTGGTATTTACATTTCTCTTAAGAATCTCTGGCACATGGTTTTAGCCAAACAGTCTTCTCTTTGGTGTGTGGATCTTTTTGATGTTTCGATGTGGAGTTTATTGTTTTATCAAAAGCCGCATGGTTCAGTTATAAACCAGGAGGCCAACTAGTGTTCAGCCAAAACACTAAACCGAAAATATGCTCTCATGACTTGAGGAATGTGTGAGAGATGAACCCTGTATAAGTGTAACCCTGAGAGAAACATAGTTCTGCTTTATGGCTAGCAGATTATTGAAAAGGAGCCGAACAGCATGAAAATACTTTACTCAGCTTTACTAATGGTCAGATAAATCTGGTAAGACTATCTCCGCTCCAGCAGTTGTCAGGCAGCTGCTCAGGTTCCTGAGTTTGGAGCCAGTGGTGTCTGGAATGACTTGTGTTCATCTCACACTTCTCCAGCGGAAAGCAACCGATACATCCCTGGAGTGATGTCATTCATGGAGACTTTATTATGCGTACAGTATGATGGAATAATTCATAAAGCTGGAGTCACAAGAACAGTCATTGTTCTCACACATCATTTTTGTTGAATAATGGGTATTTTATTGTTTCCAACTATGAAAAAGTAGGAAAGTATGCTAGGGCCCTTAGGATTTCATTGGCATGTTGAGTAGTAACTGTTAATATGATTCTCTCGAAACAGAGCTGCCGATGTTTAGGACCATTGTCTGTGCATTTAAAATCCTTGTCATGGTTAAGATTCCCTCCCAAATCACGTAGCGTGTAGCCCACACGAGTCTGTTGTGTTAACCCTGCTGAAAAAACAATTTAAGGTCTTTTTTAGACTGTCAGGCTGGTCTGGTTTAGGGTTTTGAGCACTTGAAAGCTGATCAGACTGTGAGACTAAATAGACCAATTTAAACCAACTAAGACCATCATACATTTTTATTTTTCAGCAGAGAATAGTCTGGTGAAAAATAACAAGGCCTTACTGAACTCTAGACAGGCCGTTTTATTACTTTATTGCATACAGAATAGTGACATATTCGATAAGTAAGCATGATATACTTCAGTTTTTCTTATACCAACATGTAAAAATTATACAGCCTGACTACAGCCCATTATATGGGAAGACCTGACACAAGACAACTTATTAAAGTTGTGCATCCCTAAAAACTTCTGTACGGTTTCCTGTAAGCACATACTGTAGGTTTATATGACTAACTTCAACATATGGAAAGCTTCAAATATGTTTTTTTAAAGGATGCCACACAGGCTTCTGAGGAATGTTGTGATAAGGGCCAGAGCAGCTGGTGCTGTCTCATCTATATCAAAGAGCAAACACAAGCTGACTAAAAACTTCTCCGAATATTTTAAATTGTTTGGCCTACATTACAAGTAAAATTAATATTCATATATTTTTCAGTCAGGAATTCATTCTATTTATTTATTTTTTATTTGTAAAATAATGTGAATATTTATTCATTTGAAGCATATAATAATAATAATAATAATGTTTCATTTTTTTAGTTTTAGTTTTTATTTTTTTCAATCATGAATTCATTTTTTTTTTAATTAGTAAAATAATGCGAGTATTTATCAAATTAAACCAAACATAAACCATACATAAAACATGTACTATTTTTACTTTTTTTTTTTTAAATGTGAGCAGGTTTAGAAAGTGTGCTAAAATAAATCTTCAGTGCAGTGTTCAAATATAATCCATGGCAAAATACTTTTTATTTATTTATTTTTTTTGATTTGATGATATTCTAGTATTTTTTTTATAGTTTGTCTATTTCACATTTCAATTTTTTCTATTTCTGTTTTCTATATCTGCTTTTAATAATAAGCATTTTCTTTTCATATAGAGTAAACGTGGCACTAGCATTCTGTTCTATTCAGACATGTCGCGTGAAGATGATGATTTATGTGAGTCACAGCCTCATATCTCTATTTGTGCCCAGCTCAGCCTGTAAAGCAGGCAACGGTGAAGTGGAGAAGAAGGACAGTTTGTCTGCCAGTGGGCAGGCAGCTCCGGAATGTGATCGGCACATTTACAAGAGTGTCCTGGAGGGCGGCGACATCCCACTGCAGGGCCTGAGAGCGCTTAACAAGCGTCACCCCAGCACTTCTTCTAAAGGTAGGCTTCCAGGCTGTTTTATTTACGTTTATTGAGATTCAAATGTTATTCAGGTTTTAAATGATTTTGATTTAAGGATTCATAATCGAAATCACACCGCGCTATTGTAAAGCCGATCCATTTGTTGCCCGTTGAGCCCTTTTTCATCAGCATTTTCCACATTCCTTCCTTCCTTCATGATACCACACAAATAACACAGCTCATTTGTCTTTCTGTGTTTTGTTAAAGCTGGCCATTTTTCACAGTTGAAACATAACAGATGTCCAGTTTGACCTTTAGTCATTCTCTCCACACCGGTCTGTTAGACAGAATGAGCTCATGAGGTTCGGCTCAGTTGGGTGTCCAACTGCTTTAGAAGTGGGCCATGGTGTGGACAGGGAGGAAAGGGGATAGACGTAGAGATTAATAGGTGGATTTGATGGTAGACACTCACCCTGCAGACGAGATAAACATGCAGCATGTTCAGGGGTGGTCAGGTATGAGGGGTCAGCTGTCAGAGTGAGGTCATGAATGGAATGCTAGCACATTTGAGTCGAAAAGGGTTGAAGATGATGACTGTATCCGTTAATAGTTAACACAACCCACGTTTAGACAGGGGCTTTGTTGATCACTGGATGAAAATCTTTTATGAACTCTTGTTTCTGTCTGCTTTGAATTTCCAAGACAACATGTTTTGAATACAGAACATACAATGCAGTCATGTATCTTGTCGTTGAGTCATGTGTGACACTTCATAAAGATATGTTTCTAATTCATAATCGAGTATAAAGAAATCAAGACAAAAATGAATTACACATTGAAACTATTGAGCTGTGGTGTTTGAATCTGGCTTGCAACGTTTTCAATGTACTGTAAATACCTATTAACATTCTGGCTGTAATTCCTGTGGAGAGCAGTTGGTAACTTCACAGCACACTTGAGGTTTCTTTGGTGAGAAATCCCAAGACTTGTGGAGCACTCAAGTAGCGCTTACATGAGTTTATGGCCACATTGGGAGTAAGAACCTGTCTTGGTGCGGTCTGGGGAGCCTGTGAGAGGTCAAAGGGAAAATCATATTGGCACATTTGGACAAACCTTGACAAGAGGAAACGAATGATGCATTTGGTTGGACTGAGGAACTTACTGGAAGTCAAAACAGAAGTAGAGTAAATGCTAAATACATTTTAGACACCCTGTCTTTGTGTATACAGTATGTCTCTAAAACAGTTTTTGAACATAAAAGAGTTATTGAGCCGGTCACATGCATGTATTTCCAAGGGAGTCACATGTATGCTGCAAGAGATGTTCCAGTTGGCAGATTTGTGGTATTTCAATTCATTGGCAATTGTAAGTTAACAGAAATAATTACTTTTCTTTATTTTACTATACTAGCACTTAATTATGTAATTTAAACTCTGATACACTGAAGCCTTTCTCATTGAATATTTTGGTTATAGTTGTTATATGATTTATTAATGTCTTTAACAATCCCCAAGATTTATGTTTGTTAAAAAACAAATCTGAATATGAATCAGCGCTATAAAATAGTCTGAACAAAACCTACTTTTACATGCTGTTTGTTTTAGTGTAAGTAATGTTTAAGTTATTTTGCTTTGTTAGGGGTTAGTATTTCTTTCAGTGTTGTGTAGATAGTCAGCTCTGTGATTGACATCTTTTTAGTTTTTGCAGTTAACTGATTTGGGGGGAAAAAAAACAATGTATTACCCTCAGGCTTTACATAATTAAATTCAGAGTAGAACCTTTTTGAATGCTCTTGATAAGTTGTACTGACAAAATATCCTTGTTTTGAATATTTATTTCGAAAATTGATGTGACATTTCTTTCATTATTTGCCAGTTGTGTGATACTGTCTTTGCTTGTTATGAGTGTAATCTAATTCACTGTTTGTTCTGTTACCCTGCATGCCTGCCAGTGGATTATAAAGGTGGGAATGGCTGTATGATTTCACCCTGCTCTTCTGTAAATACTCACTCAGTTCTTGCCACTAATGCACTAGCTTCTCAAAATAAGACTAAAAAGTCCTTGTCTGCTGCCAAAGCCTGCATCCCTCAAATCCTTCCCTCCAAGTTTAAACCCAAGCTATCGGCCTCTACCGATGAGAGCCTGGAAAGACGGACGGAGCCGACACAGCAGCGGCCTAAAGCACACAGCTGCGAGGATCTGCATCACGAGGCTTGTGGCTCACGCAATGGAGATACGACAGACGCCGATCACAGGTTAAATTCAGCTTGCAAGTGCCACGGTTCACCTGAGAGCAGGAACCTGCATAAAAATGGACCTGCTGTGGGATCTGTGAGGAGCACGACCGAGTTCTCCACCCTCTATCGGAACATGCACAACATTCAGAGGCCGAGCTCCCTGGGCTCCAGCCCCCACGGTAGTGTCCGCTGCCTGGCTTCCTTTTTTGAGAAGCCGGGGGACGACATTACCCTGGAGAGGACTGAGATCATCCCCCGGGATGCTGTCACGTTTCGGGTGATGGAGTTTGAGCGTATCATTCAGCGTTCGAACTCTGCGCCCACTCGTTCTGCCTCGATGCCCATACTCCCTAGTAACCCAAGTCCTTCCCACAGCCCTGCGCCGGCCTGCTTCCTCCAGTCCACTCTGTCAGCTGAGACTCTAGTCCTGCCAGGGCCTGAGGACTGTCCAGCCATGAATACAGAGGCCCAGACCCCCAAAGAGGAAGCTTCTGTATCGGACGAGTGCCCAAACACCTCAAGAACTGACTTCCCATTGGATCTAAATGAGGTCAAATTGGAAGAGAAAAACAGTTGCATTCATGATCCTGCCAAAGAGACGCCATCCGGCTGTACCTCAGAACCCACAGGTCACCATCACCACGATCACTTCCCCTTCCACACCAAACAAAGCAAGTGTAAAGGCACCTGCCCGGCTTCCTACACACGTTTCACCACAATCCTCAGGCACGAGCGCCAACAGGCCAACACCCAGCAGGAGAAGACGTGCACTCCCCCCAGGAACTTGCTTCTAATGGGACCAGCGCCTTTCTCCTTACGGAGGTCCCTACACAGTCAACAGGCCAAAAAGACTTGCGCTCTCTCTGCCATGAAGCCCATGACCGGAGATGTCATCTCGGCCAAGCTGAAGCCTTTGATTCCCCAGCGCCTGTCCTCTTTGGAGGTGCTGGAGAGGCTCAGTAATGGAGACAGCTCTCCCTGTGAGGGGTGCAACTCGGATGACCTCATGGATGTGGAGGGCTCAGAAGCCAGTAAAGATCACTCTGAAGGTGGCTATATTGAGAGTGTCATGAGTGTCAGACTGTCCACGCTCATGTTAGGGCATGACAATGTCTGTGATCACTCATCTTCCTCCAGCCTTTCTTTCTCCTGTCTGCTATCACCGAGTGACTTTACTTTTTCCATTTCTGCCGTGTGCCGACTTTGTGTGGTTTGTAACCATATTGGCATATTATCCATTTCTGTTGTGTAGTGTAAAAGTGTCATGTCACTTTTTTTTTTATTCTCAGACTTCCACTTTTTTCGTTACCTTTTTAACATATGATCCAGAATTAGCAATAAACCAAGACCAGACTTTAAAAAGAGCCTATCATAGTGTAGTCTCCAAAAGTACAACCCTAGAGAGCGCAACAGTGATTGACTCTTTTTTTCAGCTGCCTTGTTTCCAGAATTGTTTTTCCAAAGGGATTTCAAAACATTCTTCAATAAAGTTTGTTATTTTTTTATAAATCATTTCAGTTATAAGTCATTTTTAAGCAAAAATGTATTTGAAATTGACAAAATGACAAGACTGTACTTAAGTTGTTTTGTGAGGGAATGATCTATGCATCCCATGAAACATTGAGGATTATGTAATCGAATCATAAACAGTAGTATAATATAAAACTTTGACATATAGTCATAGATTATAACACTACAATAAGGTTCATTCGTTAACATTAGTTAACTACTTTAGTTGACATGAACTAAGAATGAACTACTTATACAGCATTTATTAATCTTCAGTAATGTTAATTTCAACATTTACTAATGCTTTATTAAAATGATGTTATACTTTTTGCCATGAAAATATCCTTTGATGCTGGCATGGCATTAAATAAATATATACTATACTATACTATACTATACATTATTAAAATGACAATTTGTGTTTGTTAATATTAGTTAATGCACTGTGAATTAACATGAACTATTATTGTATTGTTCATTGTTTGTTCATGTTCGTTAATACATTAACTAATGTTAACTAATGGAACCTTATTGTAAAGTGTTACCAAATTTTTACATGTGTAAAATGACTGTTGCACTCTATTCTCCAGTCAGATTACAATGATAGAATCTGCACCAGTCTCTATATCCCCATCATTTTTTAGAAGTTACAGAATACTTATTATGTGCCTTACTATGATCCATTATCATGTATTACTGCATATCAGAAATTCTGTTTTCATCCTTCCATAGAATAATGATAAGAGTTGAAAACTGGGAGGAATTTTGGCGCGGATTCACCCACTTGTAATTTAGCTTCTTGTCAGCTTGAGAAAATACTCAGGCCTCCCATGTTATTCCTGAACAGATGCAGTATGTACATTAAACAGGCATTTAACAGTGTTTCTTACGCATAGGAATTTTATCTTACTGCAAAGCCTTGTAAATTACAGCTTCATAGATTTGATCTGAAATAAAAAAAGTCATATTCCACAAAATAGTGTAACCCTAGCATGAGTCTGTTTTCACTCTGTTTAAGGGTCTGGACCAGTTTATTTTTTACTTGTTTATAATTACATGTTTGTGTCTTAAGTTTTGATTTTCAAAACTGCATTATACATATTACACTAGACATTTTTTTAAAACAATGTCTAAATGTTGTGTATTTTTACCATACTCTTTTCCCGATGCATGCATCCTTTTATTTTGACAGACCATGGCTTATGCTTATCCTACAGATCTCAAAATACGTAGATTAATAAACTATTGTAATTTTAAACTGTAAGATGTGTAAGCCATTGTATTTTCATGTAATTTAGATATGTGTTTTATTTACCTTCTTTTGCTGTATTTGTGTTCTCTCCAGAGTGTCTATAACATCCCCATGGACTCTTAAAACTCTAAACTGTATAAATGGGCATTTCAGAAATATGAAGTGTTGTGCAATGCTTGAGCCAAGACAGATTTGAATCATGGCACTTACTCTTTCTTTGTGTAATTTTGCTTATCATGGCAACAGAAAGTGAATCCTGTGTTTCTTCAAACAGAATCCGATTCCTCACATCCATTAAGCCAAGGAGATCATGGAGAAAACTCAGACGAGGCAGTCCGGAAACGCTACGGAGATAAAGAGGTGCCATTTGTTTTGACATTATCTTCCCACCACAAACAACTCATTTTCTTAATCAGTATGTTTGTTTTTTTCCATGAACAACATGTAAACATCCTTAAAACAAGATCACTTTGTTTGTGAAAGAACATTGATAATATGACTTTTAAAGAGTATATCTTGAAATTAAGTAGAATTGCCTTCCCCAATGACAAAATTATTGAGGTTTGATCATAAAACAGTAAAAAAAATATATATAGAATATATTTTCTCTAAAAAAACATCTTATTTTACACGATTTTATAAATGTATCTTGTTTTAAGGATGCATTAAGGGTGACATTTTTACCTGGAAAATATAAAAAAAATAAATGATAAAGAATTTTTTTTATTCTATTTTATATAAATTTTGTTAATTTTACATTCAGGGTTTTAAGTAGTTTAAGAATACATACTACTGTATATATATTGATAATGATGGACGTGGATTTTAAAGCATGTTTTATGGAGACTTATTTTGCTGCTATACAATGTGGTAAATCTATAATAGGCATAAACCCCTCTCTTTATGAATTAAATGCCTGTTTCTTTTTAAAGAAAATTCTGGAAGAGCAGAGACGTTTAAAGCGAGAGCAGGAAGAGGCAGATACAGCTGCTCGGAGACATGCTGGGCTGGTTGTGACTCATCAACAGTTCATTACTAATGACCGCTTCGGCGACCTGCTGGTTATTAACGAGAAAGAGAAGAGAAAAACCATAGAGGTGACATATCTTCTGTTTTATGCTTTAACAAGGATATTACTTCTTTGTGTAACAGAGAGTTGCTGTACTGGATACAGTACTGTTAAATAATGCTAATGGCCTGTTGTTGTTTGCAGAGGACTCCTGCTCTGGCTCGATTTGACTTCAGAGCAGAAAGTTTAAAGTAAGTGTCTCACAATTCAGATCTAAGGATGTTAATAAGATCATAATAAGTGTTTGTTAATAACAGCATGTCAAATTTAGAATACTACATCACAAATCTAACCACATTTTACTTCCCCTTTATCAGGGAACTACCATTTCAAAAGGGAGATATTGTATACATCTACCGGCAGGTTGATCAGAACTGGTTTGAGGGAGAGCATCATGGGAGAGTTGGGATTTTCCCACGTAACTACATTGAGGTACATTTTCTTTATCCTTTAGTATTGTTTTTTATTCAGAGTTTCAGAGTGTGCAGTAACTTCTTGTCTGTTATGCTGTTTCTCCAGATCTTGCCCCCTACAGAAAAGGCTCAGCCCAAAAAGAGTGCTCCGGTCCAGGTGTTGGAATATGGAGAGGCTATTGCTCGATTCAATTTCACTGGTGACACTGCTGTTGAAATGTCTTTCAGAAAGGTATTGTTTCAGCAATTTAATAAAGCTTATGCTTTAGTCTAGGAGTCGAGAACCTTAAACACACGTAGTGTACAACTACTGATATGCGAGCAACAAGAACTAGAGATTATAATATATATATATATATATATATATATATATGCTTAGTTTAGAAAGCTACCTCTTGGAGTAATCCTTCAACATCATGTATTCTATTATTATTTACTGAGCTGAATGTGAAGCCAAACACACTTAAAGTGTGATGAAACAAGCTGAGCAGAAAACTTTCAGAAACATGTTATGGAAGAGGAAAAATACAAATAAATGAAGATAATTTTAAATTTTTCCACTGCAAATTAAGCCAAACATTCAGGACAGATTTATCACCAGCCAGCTGAATAAAATGTGCTATACAGAGACAGCAGTGACTGTAAGCATTTCAGAAAGAAGATTATTATATATGAATGGTGAGTCACAGCATTTACTTTATCTTGCAGACTTTATTACAGGTAAATTAGTCAGAAAATGACTGTTCTACTGAAATATCTAAGAACACTGCACTCACACCATTTCAAATGTGTGTGTGTGTGTGTGTGTGTGTTAACTGATGATGATTTATATACATATACACTACCATTCAAACGTTTGGGGTCGGTAAGAATTTGAAATGTTTTTGAATGAAGTGCTCAAGAAACATTTTTTATTATTATCAATGTTGTAAACAGTTGTGCTGCTTAATATTTTTGTGAGGAAATGGTGATTATTTATTTTCATTATATTCAAAAAACTTTGACTAGAAAGTTCAAAGAACAGAAATTATTTGAAATATAAATCTGTAAAATCATAAATGTCGTTACTGTCAATTTTTATCAATTTAATGCATCCTTGCAGAGAACTTGCAGTTAAAGTATAACTTTCTTACTAACCCCAAACTTTTGAACGATATATGTGACCGTGGACCACAAAATCCGTCATAAGGGTCAATTTTTTTTAATTTGAGATATATACATAATCTGAAAGCTGAATAAATAAGCTTTCCATTTGGTTTTGTTAGGACAGGACAATATTTGACTTTGAAATGACTTGGCTTGAAAATCTGGAATCTGAGGGTGCAAAAAAATCGAAATATTGACAAAATCGCCTTTAAAGTTGTCCAAATGAAGTTCTTAGCAATGCATATTACTAATCAAAAATGTAATTTTGATATATTTTCGGTAGGAAATTTACAAAATATCTTAATGGCACATGATCTTTACTTAATATCCTAATGATTTTTGGCATAAAAGAAAAATCTTGTAAATCAATAATTTTGACCCATACAATGTATTGTTGGCTATTACTACACATATACCCATGTGACTTATGACTGGTTTTGTGGTCCTGGGTCACATATATAAATAAATATATATAAAAGAAAAATAAATACATAAATAAATGAGTGTGTGTTGTTTGTGTCATGTCTGCAGGAACTCATTCAAAATCTTTTGTCTGCCTGTAGGGGGAGCGTATTAAACTGATTCGCAGAGTAGATGAGAACTGGTATGAAGGCAAAATTTCTGGCACTAACCGGCAGGGCATCTTCCCCGTCACCTACATAGAGGTGCACAAGAGACCCCGAGTGAAAAATGGAGTGGACTACCCTGATCCCCCTATCAGCCAGTCACCTCACCGGAGCACTAATGCCTCTCCACAGGTAAAAACCTGACAATAGTCGGGGCCCTTGGATCATTTTCTTTCAACTCACTGTTTTCATTTTCCCATTTGTTTTTGTTTATTCATTATCTCGTATAGTGGTTCTCACTGTTTCACCTTTCCATTTCCTCCTTACTCTTTATTGTTTCCTCTCATTTCTTCCGACATCCGGCCTTGCCCTCCAAAAAGCCCATTTGTAATCGGCTCACCACCTCCCCTCTCCCTCTGCCGCGGTCTCCCCGCCGCTCGATCTCCCCCGAAGTCCACGCCGTCTCCAACGAGTGGATTTCGCTCACTGTGGGCGGAGTAAGCAGCAGCCCACCCGCCGCACCCCCTCTGCCAAGCGCTTCATACCGCTTGGGCGAATATCTGCCCCCTTCCATGTCAGCCAGTCCTGTGCCTCCCATCAGCGGCAGCCTCTTCTGCGTCTCCCCGATGGCTTCTCCCTCCACATCTCCTTTACCCCCGCCCTATCCGCCCCGCCCTTGCTCGGCCACCCCGTTCCTCACCTTCACTCCACCTCAAGGTGAGGACTTCCTCCTTTCTCCACCCTCTCCCCGCCTGTCCCGCAGCCTGAGTCCCTGTGGGGGTGCTGGGCTTGAGGGTTGGCTTACTGGGGGCAACAGGCTGGATCAGGAGTTTCAGGAAGGGGATGGGGCTGAAATAGACAGGGCTGGCAGCCTCCGCAAGGCTCCTTACAGCAGGAACAATAGTCCAGCAGAGGTATCTTCTGCATGGTGTGGTGTGTTTGTTAAAGGTGCCCATCATATGGTGCCTAAGCTCAAGGGAGGTCACTGTTTACATCGGCATGAGTTGTAGATCTAACATGCTGAAATAGGAAATTATATCTGACCCTTCTGGTTGTGCTAGTGAGTTTCAATCACACATTTGAGGCTTCCACGCTATTGAGAGAAACACAGATGAAAAGGAACTGCTGCATGTACCTCTAACATGATTATCATGAAGCTTGGATGTTGATATTTTTTGTTTATGTTTCCTATTATGAAATCATGCATGTCTGATACAAATCTATAGAGTGTACGCATTGAAATGAAACAAGGACCCCTAAATCTAATGGCAGATTGAAGATTTAGATTGGAAAAAGGATTGTCAGGCGAGTGAAAGGGTTAAATTCTTTGATGATAACAAATAATATTTTGATTTCTGAAGGCACTTTCTGTATTTGTCTATTTAATTATGTATTTTGAGGCTGTTTTTTTTTTTTAGCAAATGTTGATATATGTGATTAATTGTGATTGATTTGATTAAGCATATAATGCAATTAATCAGAAAAAAATATTGATCGACAGCCCTGATTTATATTAATAGTAGTTGGTTAATTCTGTGTAATTGTTTGAAGAACTCTTGTATTTTGTATCTGCGTTCAAATGACAAATATGTATTCGGTTATAAAAAGTTATGTTCAACTGTACACTGCTATACAGTTTGTGGTCAGTATGATTTTTAAAAGAAATTAATATTTTTATTGAGCAAGGAGGTATTAAATTGATTTAAATTGACAAAATGTGACACTGTTACAAAATATTTCTGTTTTAAATCAATTCTGCTTTGCCATCACATTAATAAATTGCATTTTAAAAGATATGGAAACAGAAGTAGGCTTTTTAAAGTGAAAATTTAAAATGCAGTCTTGGTGAGCATAATAGATTTATTTAAAAAACAATAAAAGTCTTACTGACTACCGAGCTACATACACTAGAAATATAAGCTATCCTAGGGACTATTTCCACTAGAGGGAGCATCCCAGCATGATGTCACGCTGTTTTAATGTTTGACTGAAGTTTCATATGAAATGTGGTGACTGCTACTAACTCACAGTCTTATTCCAGTCCTTTATCTGTTTGACGTACTGTAAGGTTGTACTGCAGTCCTCTGCAGATAATAATGGACTGATCAAGTGGCAACCGTACTGCTGTTTGTGCAAATTTCAAATTTGAATCCAAAACTCATGGATGAGCATGAATCATTGTGCGCAGACATATATGGTATATGCTTTGAAAAAGGCAGATAATTTGATTCATGTTCTTTTCTTTTTTTTTTTTTTACAGCCATTAAGAAATTATGTAGAATATTACGGGCGATCTTCAAGAAGTCCTGTCATGCTGTTTGACATTCAAGACAACAACATGAATGCCAATTCATTCACGGTAAATTAACTTTCATGAAGTCACAATTACTCTTAAATGCACATACTGCTTTTTGCACATACTTATTTCTGTTGAATGAATATGAATGATGAATATGAGCTATTTCATATTCTGTATTGATTGGTCCTTATGATACACATCAGTCAATCACAAGGCTCATCTCAATGTTTAATTTTATGTGATATCTAATCCTTAAACTCACCCATGTAATGCATGACAAATCTCCGTACCCTGCAAGTAAGCCTGTCCTATATGATTGTGGCGTATGTTCCTCTCCTTCCACTTGCACTCACTCTGTTTGTCTTACTCTTTCATGCTTATCCTCTGGACACTACCATCCTTTCCGGCTTTCCTGGTATTAATGGACATTCCCTTCTTTCTGCCCTGTTACTGTCTTCTCTAACCACACCGTCCCTTCCTCAAACTCAATTTTTCATCTGAATGACTGACCCCACTTCCTGGCTTGTGGCCACCTCTTGGGCCGACCCTCTTCCACCAATAGGAGGCAGTGTGTAATGAGATCATGAATATTGCAGAGACCTCAGTGAGGTACTGCAGCACTTTGTCACGCCCTATAGACTCCCCCCATCGCCTCCTGCCTCCTCCCAGTAAACACTCTCTCATCATTTCCCAGCAACCCCTGTCCCAGAGCAGCAGTCCTGAGCCTGGACGCATGAGCTGTGGGATGTAAGTATGATCTACCTCAGAGTGTTTCTGTGTCCGTGCACCTGTAGTTTTCACTGACCTGCACTTTAAAAATGTAGGACATCCCTCAGGAATTCACAAGAGCACTGGTAAACCTTATTTGCACATTTAAAAAAATCAGTTTTGAATTATGCTAAACGGTAAATTTTAAAATATATTCTTCAAGTCATACTTTTTGACCATGAAATGTATTTTTTTCTTCACGCTCCCATTTAAAGCAAACTTTTTAGATTAGTAAGTGAAAAAAAGTGTAAGTATCAACTTAGGTGAAACAACAGTTTGCAATAAAAATGAAATTATGAAGCTAAGTGATTTATTTTATAAACAACAAAGTTGTTAAATTTAAGAAATTAAGTTATTTAAATTATATACCGTTCAAAGGTCTGGAGTCAGTAAAATCGTTTAAAAGAAGTCTCTTATGTACGGAGCCCCCAAGAGCACATTGTAATGGAAAAAATACTAGGAAAACTTATGTATTAATTTGCATTCATCTGCAATGCCTGTGTGTTTTCTTGCAAAACATTTGTGTTCTGTCAAATGATTGTGTTCCCCTGAGAAACTTTATCTTCACTAGCACTGAAATATAGTGTTTCCTATGACCTCATATTATTTCCATCACAAGTTTTTTGGGCGAACTCAAAAGCATTGAAATATTTTTTTTTTAATCAAAAATCAGTAATATTGTGAAATATTCTTGCAATTTAAAATAACAGTTTTCTGTTTTAACATATTTTAAAATGTAATTTACTCATGTAATGGCAAAGCTGAATTTTTAGCATCATTACTCCAGTGTTAGTGTCACATGATCCTTTGGAAATCATTTGGATATACCGATTTGGTGCTCAAAAACAATTTATTCTTATCAATGTTGAAAACAGTGATACATTTTTTCACGATTTGTTGATGTTGAAAGTTCAAAAGAACAGCCTTTTTCAAATAAGTTTTTTGTAACGTTATAAATACATTGAACAAAAACGCTAGTGAAATGACAAATTAATTTAGCCTTGTTTTAGGTAGATATCTATTAAGCATTCATGTAGTACACATAACTGTATTTCATGTAACTGTGGAATGTCTACATTTTACGAGCTGTCTGATTGCAGGCACAGTGTACTCTACTTACCATGGTGCTCTGCCAAGTGTGCATTGTGACATTATAAAACCCTCTGTGTCAGACAGACAAAACTGTTTGCAGTGTTTTTTTTAATTAAAGTTTTTAAATAAAGTTTTATTTCTATTTCAACTAAACTGAAAGACTAAACAAGGCTTTACATTTGGTCAATAGTGTGATTTGTGCAGTAGTTTCCTGCCCCCTCCCTTTCCATGTGTAAGGACATGTTGTGTTCTGCTGTAGATTTCAGGCTTTGTACAATTACATGCCTCAGAATGATGATGAGTTGGAGCTGCAGGAAGGAGACCTGGTCAGTGTCATGGAGAAATGTGATGATGGCTGGTTTGTGGGTATGTGTCATTGATCAGTGTATTGATTCTGTATTAAGTCATCTTTCCCATACTAAATCCATATATATATACTGTATGAAACTACAGTGCTACTAAATCTATTTTTAAACCAGGATTATAGAGTTCTGTCGAGTTGTATTTGTACCCAGACTCTTATGTATGCATTGGGTTCTCTGTGCAGGTACATCCAAGAGGACAAAACAGTTCGGCACTTTCCCAGGAAATTATGTGAAAGCTGTTAATTTGTGACATGATACTTTTGAAGAAATTATGGTTTGTATGAAGAGATTCTAACACTATGCTTAAGCAGCCTGATCTGTTTGGGACACTCTACCAGTTGACGTCAAATGAAGACTATTTCTCCCCTCCAAAATTTGGTCTTTCCCAGATGAATGTCCAGGTATGTGATCAGTAAGGTGTGCGGCATGTCAGAGAAGAACAAGCAGTTCAACAGTGCTACAGTGGCAGCATTTGTTGAAGGATTTAGAAGAATACATTGTTTTAGCTTTTTGAAAATGTTCAGACTCCACTAAAAGCCATTAATATGAAGTATATCAGACTTGGAAAAGGTGTTTAAGTTTACAGCTACGAACTGTACAACTTCATCGCATACCTGACATTACTGAAAAACATGAAATTCTACTATTTATTTTTGCTATAAAGTTTGATGGACTTTGAGTGTTGACTGTTAGAGATGGCAGTGTATTGAAAGCACCTGAAGGTGTCTGTATTAAGGGTTACAGGTCAGAGAAGCTGTGGATCAAAGGATCAGAAGTTCGGTTTAGCCATTTTGAAAAGTGTTTAAATTTCAATTTACACTCCCATTGTGTAAAAAATGCATATTTATGGAGCTTTTTTTTATCGTACTTTCATAAAGAGTATGTCAATTTCTATTCCGATGAGGGCTCAAAGTTTGAGACAAAAACATTAGTATTTGCGAATCCAAGCAAAGCTATTTGTAGACATCAAAATGATGTAAATCAGTTTTGGTCATGTTAAGGAGGATAACGTCACAGCACTTACTGTACTCTCAGATTATACTGACATACAAATTTATTGCAACACTTTACAGTAAGGTCTAATTTGTTAACATGTGTTAATTGGATGAGACATTAAACCGAGGTCCTGACTTTGTGTGGGTGTAAAAATCCTAGGATGTCCCTCGAAAAGAGTAACTTGGTGCTCTGAGTGTAGAGAAAAGCGCTATATAAATGTGACAAATTATTATTATTATTTATTTTAATGCATTAACATGAACTAACTATGAGCAACTATTGTTAACAAATAAAACCTTATTGTAAAATGTTACCAAATTTTTGTTCATAAGATTACGATGGAGTGACTGACTCTAGAAACTCCAGATCTAACAAGCTTTTTAATTGGTTTTAAAAAACAATCAAGCTTTAAGCGTTATGTAATATAGTGAGGTGAAGGGCTACAACTAAACCCCACTAAACATGCTTTGCCTCAAAATATGCTATTTATTTTCCTGAGTGGTGCGTATTTTGCTTTTTCAGTCATCCATTTTTGAATTGGTTGTTCTGAAGAGTGTATTACGAGTCTGAGGCGCAGTATTTACCTCTGATAACAAGCCTTGATAACATCTTAACCCAGGTACCATTTGACAGTGACATTTACAGTGTTATGACTGGTAATATGGTTGCATGTTGGGAAACGATGATCCATATAAGATTGCTGTACCTCATTTTCAAAGTGCCATTCACAGTAGAGGATGCTACATGTAGACAGTTGTGTTCATTTAGTTAGGTAGTCTCCATTGATTAGCTTGTGGTCTTCCTTAACTGAATGTAGTTCACATCTACTCCAGGTTGTAGATTTGCTTTTGCTTCCTTTTAAGAAGTAGAATTGCAGATTTGAAGATACATGTTTGGATTTCTTCTTCAAATGAAATTGTGTCTTTTTGAATCTCCCCTTTAGTTTTATAAGGTCCATTCCATATAATGCCAGAGAACGTGCTGCTAGAGAGCATGAGGGTCGTCTGAGACTCTTACGCTTACCAGCCTTCCGTCCAATTCAAAACGAGAATTTGGAAAAGATCATTTGGACAGAAATGAGTCATTTGAAGTATCTAGATGATATATTTTAAATTTTTTAAACCAGTGGTTGTTGCTAAAACCTTTGTCAAGAAGTAATCACATAGAAGATCAACAAGGAATTCAAATACATGTGATCTCTATTGAATATGATGTTTTGACCTTTCGAACCGTTATAAGATAGCGTAGCATATCTGAATGCTGTGAAACAGTTGAAATTCAATTTTCCTATTCTGTCAGAGTTGTAAATATGTAAAGTAAAATGAATGAAAGTGATCGAAGTTACAGCAACCTCTATGAATATTACAGTTTATATTAAATGAAGAATATTAGGAAAGCACAGAGATTTGCGTAACACAGGCTGTCTCATATGACTGAACGAGTGATTCTGACATGTTGGGATTGAAATGCCTTTCTGTCTCATGGCTTCATTGAACTGTGCCTCGTTTTATTTTATTTTATTTGCCTTGAGGTAAGCACGTTACTTTTTAAGGACTTTTAAAAGTACGTTTTAGTGTGTCACAAGAGACAGTTACTGAGTTCATTACCGCAATCACATGAGTTATTCAAGAGTGTGAGATAACACCTGAGATGTTTAATGTATAATTATTACTTTGTGACCTGTATGCAGAGGCGAATTTTGCATTTTTTGTTTGTTTTTGTTTATTTGCAGTGCTGTTAATTACAATGAATTTAAAACACTATTTACTGCTGTGATTGCCTCATTATGCAATATTTAATAAACAATATTACAGCTTTTGACTGACTATGTTTGTTGTCGTGATTTTTTTATTTAGTCATTTATTAGAGGCTTTTATCCAATAGAGTCGATGGTCTTTACACTCTTCGGTCTGCACACGAGGAGGCCGTCACGCGACGGCTGTCGCGGTAAACTAAACTTTTTTATACTCATCTAACAAAATACTAAATTAATTCAGCTGGACACACTTTCCTTATTTTCTCCGCAACAAATGGCCAAGCAAGCGCAGACACTGACAAGATACGCAATACAGAACAAGACCAAACGCGATATCAGCACGTCTCCACACAGTAAACAAAACAAGCGTTTCCTAGCAACGACAACTGCACTAAACACGAATTAAACGAGTAAATACACTTACGAGCTGCTTTTAACTTCCGCTGATAAAGACTGCTTCTCTCAAAGACTATTTATTTACACTGTTTTCTGCTGGCGCTTGAACACACTTTCCTTATTTTCTCCGCAACAAATGGCCAAGCAAGCGCAGACACTGACAAGATACGCGATACAGAACGAGACCAAACGCGATATGCTACGTGATGTGCACGGCCTGTGCAAATGCACTCAGTGTGATTAATTGATAGTGAAAAATATCAGTTTAAATCTTCTCCCAAGTTAAAAACAAAAATCGGTCTAATTAACGGAAGCAAGAAAATATAATCTTTTTAAATTAAGGATTTATAGTAACCGTATATGTATTTTGTGACTCTGGAGCTCCCAGAAACAGTTAAGTGAGTGGAATTCTCTGTCGAAATTACAGTGACAGACGTCTATGAGGTGCGTGAAAAAAATGTGCTCTATTAGTCAGTGTACCATAAGAATGCAAGAAGGTTAAAAAAAATTAAATGCATTTGCTTTAACAGAGTGAATGTCACAACTTTTTTTTTGTAATGTATGTGAACTTTTTTCACAAAAAAAAAAAGGTGGTTGGTGGTTTTGGATCCCAGATGTTTATGTGGAATTTTGAACCCACTGTATAAAAACGCAAAGCCAACAAATTACCGTGTTCCACACTCCACTTAATTTAATACATACATTGCAATACCATTCCCTACCAACAAGGGGCAGCACAGACATAGGAACATCCTCGTCTGACTGCCTCTGTCATGAAGTGAAAGCTTTTTAATGAAACACAAATTAGAATCTAACAAACCTAGATATTTTAGGCAATATAGAAATCCTGGCCAGGACGCGTCCTGGGAAAATGGCACGTATGGTCACCCTAACATACATTGCAATACCATTCCCTACCAACAAGGGGCAGCACAGACAAAGGAACATCCTCGTCTGACTGCCTCTGTCATGAAGTGAAAGCTTTTTAATGAAACACAAATTAGAATCTAACAGAAATGACACTTTCAAAAAAGAATACATTAACAAAATAGACTGCAACACGATCCCAGTAAAGCATAAACACAAGGTAAGTGTGATACTGTCAGTCCCAGATGTTTGCAAGTAACGTACTGTACACTTGAAAAGGTAAATTGTAATGAGGGGGAAACACTCGGTAGGACGCTGATTATGTTACACGGAAACACTAGCATCTAATTTTCCTCAACCACAGGTGGTAAATTCTGTTTGTTTAATCTAGTCATTTAACACCGATTGTTTTTCGATTTGTTAACTGAGGATTCTGTTGAAACAGTAGGGGAAAACCAGTATAAATGTTATGTAGAAACTGACTTACTCTCTCTCTCTCTCTCTCTCTTTTTGGTAATTTGCAAAAAGAAAGAAAGAAAAAAGTGATGTTTTTAGAAAAATGTTCTATGCCCTATACTGTACATAATCAGCATTTTATTAAAAATAATAAATAATAAAGATAGAATCTTATTTTTTACGTAAAGCTTAATCAAGTTTCAAGTTAACAGAGCAGCTTGGAACATCTCAGCAAAATGCTGACTTGTTAAGTTTTAACAAGGAATCCCAAATACTGACCTACTTCAGAATTGTTAATTTAAAGCTCAGAGGGGTTGCTCTCTGCATAATGTTTATCTTTTTCAGTTGAGGAAGCACACTTTTGTTTCATGGTGCTGGGTAGATGTTGTAATGTCGGCTCTTCATACTTTGTGCAATGCTTTGATCTAACAGCACTGCACTGATCAAATACACTGAATGCATCCAGGCTAATCATTTTTACTTAATTATAATTTTTTTCTTTTGTAGTCTGAGTGATTGATCAAACATGTCAAAATGTTAATTGCTGTAGAGGTGCTGCGCTCAGTAGGGGTTCAGGAATCACTCTGGAATAATCAGCACCCTCTGCAATAAAAAGAGGAGAGACATCTTTGCCTTTTTGGAGAGGCAGAAAACTCAAGATTCCAGCATGTCTTTGCTCTGCTGCATGGTTTCAACTACAATGGGTTTTACTGTTTCATAATGCAGAAGAAATACAATAGTAGTATAAGGGCACACAATTCTTAGAAGCTTTTGACAATTTTTAATTGTTAAAAGTGTGTGAACTTATACTCTGTATAGCAAGCATATTTGACTTCATATACAGTACACAGCCTGTCCTTAATGTGAAACGAAATGAAATAAATAAATGAGAGGAGGGCAACTAAGGAGACACTAACTAGGAGCAGTTTGCGAAAACCTCTCTTTTCCTAATAAAGAATTAAACTTTCAGGACATAATTATTCATCCATCAATTCCCACGGCTGGAATATTTTAACAGTGTTCCCTCATTTCCATTTTATAATATCATCACTGCTGTATTCACAAACTAAAAGAAGCAAACAAAAAAATCAAGGATATTTTTCACAAATCAGCAGG